AAGGTTTCTCATATATCTATCCATGATGACGTTGTTTCTTTTGCCGTTCAGAATATAATAAACTAAAAACATATTGAAGTAATTCTTATAAATATATACGTAGAAAATAATATGTTGAATTCGCCATACCGCAAACAGTTTGTTTGATAGTGGCTTCAAATACTCTCGTTGAATACAAGATTTATTGACAGGGGTGTACACATGTCTGACATGCATTAATGTCAACAGATAAATATCTTCAAACATCAGGGGCAGTTAATTCTGATCATTATTTCCGGCTAACATACATGTATAAGATCAGCTAAAGCATGTAATAGTGCAAATAAAACGTCCATAAAGTATCAATACACAGTAACTTAAGTTTACATTGTGACAATCCCACATAAACTTAAGTAAATATTATCTTGTTTTTGTTTTGTTTAACATGTTATAGGCAATGAACACATATATATACACATATGGTGTTTATTTACAAACACTGCATTTCTCTCCATATTTACAAACACTTTATTTTCATACACGACTCCTACTGATGAGTTTCCTCATCCTGCAACATGACACTGGTTTTGTGAACACATCCGCCACATTGCACCCTGACTCAATGTATTTCAGTTCAATCACATTGTTCTGCACTTCATTTCTGATGAAATGATATTTAATGTCAATGTGTTTTGATCTATGCTGAGTCACTGGATTCTTTGAGAGTGCTATCGCTCCTTCACAGTGACCAGTCATATCGCTCCACAGCTGTCGCAGGAGCTTCCCCTCTTCCCCTCGCACGTTGACAATGCCACAGTCGTCTGCTTCTTGCTTTTCCAGGAAACTAAGGGTCCGTTATCTTTCAGCTGGAATCCGTAGCCTGTGATGCTTCTGTCTGCAGATACCAGTCAGCATCACAGAATCCCACAAGTTGAAGAGGATCACATGATTTTAAAAACGTCAGTCCATGTTCAGCGGTACCTTTGATATACCTCGGAATGTGTTTTGCCATGCCCAAATGGGTCGTTGTTGTCTTAGCCGTATACTGTGACAACTTGGTCACAATATAACACAGGTCTGGTCTCGTAGCAGTCATTATATTGATCAGACTTCCAACAATCACTCTGTCGAGTCTGGGATCGCCCAGTTCAGTTGCAATTGTCTCCCTTTCTATGTCAGCGCCCAGGTCACATGGAGTTGCGTTGGGTTTACAGTCCATCATGTTGAGTGAGTGAGTGAGTTGGGTTTAACGCCGCTTTTAACAGTATTCCAGTTATATCACGGCGTGTCAGCTTAATGTGGGAGGAAAGCCCGAAGTGATGCAGGTCTCGGACGTTCACCACTTCGGTGAAACCCACGAGCACGGGTGCTGTCAAACCTAGAAACAAAATCGGGGCGAACCGGGATTCGAACCCACAATCATAGGTTTCTGGCGTGCCAAAGGAACGCAACTCTGCACAGCGAATCGCGGCGCCTTAGACGACCGGGCCACCCCAGAAGATGCTGTTGAACTTCAGCATCTTCACAATATGTCATTTCAACATTGTCGTTCTTCCACTTGAACTCTATTCCCAGAAACCATGAAAGCTTCCCCAAGTCCTTCATCTTGAACCGCTGACACAAAGAATATTTTATCCCATGAAGTATGGTCGTCTTCTCTGCACAAATGATGATGTCATCAACCCACACTACCATAATTACGAATGAATCTTCAGTCGTCTTGCAGTAGACACAAGGATCAGCAAGTGATTGGTTCAAGTTCAGATCTTCAACCAAGAACGTGTTTGAGGCCGTGCAGGGATGTCTTGAACCACCAAACAAGTTTCTCACAAGTCTGTGGCTTTACTGCAAAACCTTCCAGTTGCTGCACATATATCTCACAGTTTTTGGGTGCGTTCAAATAAGCTGTCTCAACATCCATTTGATGAACCACCATATCTTTCTGAACTGCAATGTTGTAGCAGAGTCCGAATTGACGTCATTTTAGCAGTTTGGGCAAAAGTATCTTTACAGTCGATACCATGGACCTGTGGGAATCCCTTTACAACATACCTTGCCTTGTATTTCTCAGAATCGGGGCAAGATTTCACAGCAAACACCCATCTTCCCCCCAACTGTCGATCTACCTCCTGGTAATGTGGTGATTTCAAATGTATCATTTTCTTTCAGAGCGTCCATCTCTTCACGCATTGCCTTCTTCCACTTGGGTGCATCACATGAAGACAATGCTGCAGGAATACCAGCCACTTTGTTAGTATTCCATAGCATACATTAAACTATCTTCCGTCTCAGATTCTGACATGTCAGACCCTGTGACGTATTCCTGCAGGTACTTGGGTCTGGTTGTCTCTCTCCTGGGATATCTTCTCGTTTCCTGTTCTCTGTTACCATGTTGTTGGACTTTATTCTGCACACATTCTTGCTGTCGTTTATTTTGTTTTTCAGTTTCTTCTCCACTTTCATTCTTCCTGTACACTAAATGTTCTTCATATTCTGGCTGAGATACACTTTCTTCATACTTTATTGTGAACATTACACATCTCACTTTTCTTACTTCATTTCTCTCAGGAAAGTACACAAGATATGCAGGACTTTCTCTGTCGTATCCCACAAAGAAGCCCTTCTCACTCCGTTCGTCCAGTTTCTTTTTGCTTTGGACTAATGCAAAACACGTTGTACCAAACACATGCATATTTGACAGGTTGGGCTTCTCGCCTGTCATTGCTTCAAATGGAGTTATGTTCAGTCTTTGGTTGTTACATCGATTCCTGATGTATGCTGCTGTCATAACAGCATAGGACCACAGCGAATTGGGTAATTTGGCTTCTATCAGCAGACATCTCGCCTTATCAAACAGTGAACGCCAGGCACGCTCAACAGTCCCATTTTGACGTGGTGAATATGGTGAAGACTTTAGATGTCTGATACTGTTCCTTGTAAGGATACTTCTAAACTTCTCACATGTGAACTCTGTACCATTGTCTGACCTTATTGTTCCAACTTTTCCAAAAGGTGATATATCATGATCACCGTTGCTGCGGCAGTATCACGCTTCAAGATCAGGAGATACAAGGTGATTATTCCAGACATCCTCATCAACAAATGACAATACATATCGAAAGTCACCTCCAGCTGGAGTTGTCGCTCTTCTGTCTGGATCTCTATTTCTCCACTGCAACATCTTCCCTTCGATACAGGTGTCACATAGATCAGTATCTTTACCAGCTCTCCATTCCCTTCACAATATTCTCCAGCTTCATCATATCTTTCATGTTACAATGTCCACGGATTTTGTCTTCACACTTGGATGGAGCAGTATTGTGCAAGAAGTACAGTTTCCCATGCTTGTGGATGTCAAACGTTGTACCATCTTGAGCCTTGAATTTTGCACTCTCTGGACTGGAATGAACTGATGCGCCTTTACTTGTAGCTGCTTGCACTGAAAAATGTCATGGTTGAAGGGTGTCACGTACAAAGCATTCTCCAACACAATACGTTGTTGCCGATTGCTTACATCACACAACATGACGTCAGTACTCCCTCTTCCTTGTACAATACCATTCGTTCTGCTTCCATCAGCGAATTCGATGCAGTGATCTTGTGTTTTGTCATCAAATTTCAAGAACTAGGTCTTGTCAGTAATGATATGGGCGGTTGCCCCACAATCCACGAGTAGAGTATTCACACTGTCCGCACTTACACTGGCAACATGTTATTGATCAACACTGACCTTGAATACGTATTACGAATGTTCTTGATCTTACCACAGGCAGAGTCTCGTCTACGACATACCCTGGTGTCATGGGTGGAATTCTTGCAAACATCACATCACCTACCCGATCTCTTCTGTCCACTGTAACTTGATGCAGGTTTCTTCCGTATACTATGATAATCCGTCTTGTTTCTGATGTCCACGGTAACCTTTTTATTCACCACAAGTATAACCCTGATTTGTACTCCTTCACTCCGATGCCCTGTGTCCTGGCTTCCCACATGAGAAACATTTAAGGTTCATGGCACTGTCTTCATATTTGGGTGTAGGTTGATTTTTTCCGTTTATTCATATCTTCTAAGAGCCGTTTGAACTCGACAAACGTCAGTTGCTTCTCCTTCAGCGCGATCACAGTTGAAAACTTCTTGAAAGAGGGAGGCAGTCCTTTAAGAACCATGGCTATCAATACACTGTCACTGATTGTCTCTCCTGCAAGTTTCAACGAAGTCGATGCAGTGTCTGCTCTAATTACGTAGTCCGTAACACATTCATGGTCGTCCATCTTCAACGACGTAAGCTCCATGTATAATGATATTATTCGTGGTTTACCCCATCTAATGTAGTGCTCCCGTAAAATCTCCAACGCCCGTCTCCCATCGTCTTTTGCGTCCCTCATAGTGCAAATAAAACGTCGATAAAATATCAATACACAGTAACCTAAGTTTACATTCTAACATAATAACTGCACAGACTGCTTATTTTCTCATTTGCACAAATACACTCCAGCTGTAGACAGTAGTGGGAAATAAAGGCTCCACCCATTCTATTTTCAGCCAGTCAGGAAAAGTAGTCCGTTTATGGTCGTGGTCTAATTATTTTACGGTGTATGGTATCATCAACGCCAAAATATTGGTTGTTTATGAAATCAAATGCCGCAGCCTTACTTGCAATATATTTGTGAAGCTATAAAGAAAACTGCTGATATGGATTTCTCAGAGACACGTTCATGTTGTTGGTGGGAACGTTACTGGTCAAGATATGACGGCTAATCAGGATTCCCATGTCCAGAGTAGTGGTTGAAAGGACAGGCGGAGTGAAAGAAAAATATTTAAAACTTTTAAACTGCTTCATGACAACTCAGTTTTCCAACTTAATGACAGGAGCGTCGAAAGACCATTGTCACTTTAGTATTCAGATTCTTGCAGGTTATCTGGTACATTAGTTTGTCCGACTAAAAACGATTTACATTTCTAATCCACATGTATGTACAGTGCATTATGTATGACCGATTGTACTGTTTTCTTTCCAGATGGGTTTTGTTTGCGAGAAGAAGTCCTACGTGAGTCATGCCAGAATGCTGGGTATGTTTGGGCATTTGGTTGGAGGTCTCATCAACGGACCATTGGCAGACATGTGAGTTGCCAGGACGGGGAATCTTCGATGTTAGTGAGAGAGAGAATGTTGCTGTACTAATTAAATGATTAGGGTATTCAGCAACCCATGCTTGCCATAAAAGGCGACTATGCTTGTCGTAAGAGGCGGCTAACGGGATTGGGTGGTCAGGCTCTCTGATTTGGCTGATGCATGTCATCGATCCCGATTGTGTGGATCGATGCTCATGGTGTCACTCACTGGATTGTGTGGTCCAGACTCTATTATTTACAGACCGCCGTATAGCTGGAATATTGCTGAGTGTGGCACATTCCAGTTAAATGACGTCGCCCTGTAAATAATCGCGTCTGGACCTCCCAATCCACGATTCACGCCGTCAGGGTAGGATGACAAACAATCAACCGAACCTGACCTCAATAAATCCTTACTAAGGTGTCACTGATTGACTATATTTTTGTTCCCTTATTTATGACATAATGTATTCTGAAAACAGCAATTAATACAAATATACCATTTTATGCATCCGACCGTAAACCTGTGTGCCTTACTTTGAATATTGATAGATTCGTGATTGATGACAAACAGGTATCTATCCACGCAATAAAGTGGCGCATGATTAATGACTTAGTGCTGAAATTGTATGCAACTGAGGTTGACAACATGCTGTGTGGAACCTATCCGGACACTAATTAGTTTGGCAACACCGTCTCGGCAGAAACAACCGACCGTCCACTATGTGCTATCGGGGTTAAATGGTTAATACCTGGCTCTTAATTTGTTAAAAGAGTGTCCTCGCGAAATCATTTATCACTGCTCTTCCTGAAACTACTCTCTGCAGATGTGTATATAACCTGTTGTGATCTAAATGATTGTATCTAACACAACTCTTCGACATGACTGCAGGAAATAAATAAATAAGATTCATTAATTCACTAACTGTGTACATGGTACTGTTTGTGTGCCACAATGGCCCTCTGTTATGTCGTGAAGTGCCTGTATCTCATTATACACTAAGATATGCCTGGTGGAAAAACGACACATTCATTCATAAATTCTGTATACTATTATGCAGAATGTTGCAGATTATCTTGTCTTTTCTGCAGGTTTGGAAGACGACCAAATATAATCTGCAACATGTTCATGCTGGTGCTGCTCAGTATCTGTCTGGTGTGGTCGAACTCAGCCCCTGTGGTCCTCTTCCTTGATTTCGCGATCCACATCTGTTGCATTGGCCAGTATCTCGTGTGCTTCGTATTTGGTATGTCTATGAACTACATATGTATTTGTGGACGTCTCCAGCTTTAATTCACTTTCACAGCCTGGCTGTATTATCAGGACGCAATGTTTCGCGTAATAATACGCAAATAACGTATGAGACAATGACATGCCAAGCGATGCTTTTTGCAGACAATTGCAAAGATTGTTTGTGTTTGTGGACAAATTGAAGCGTATGGAAGAGAATGGGATTCAGCCTCTCAACCCTGACCATGATTTGTTTTAAACTTTTCTGAGCAGTCATATCGACGACATTGAACAGATGCAATAGGTATCGAAATGACACCCGCATCTATTACATGAAGACACTGAAATCTGAAATGTTTTAATATGATCCTAAGAATGGTCTTTATTGAATTTTCTCGAAGAATAAGAGCAATTTAATCTGGGCCTCTAACCTCTTTCAAATACCAGAGAACACATGCATTGTGAAGCCGACCTTTTTCCTTATGCAGTGCAGTCATGTCAACAATATCCTACAGTTAGCAGCGTAGAGTGTACACGCCGGAAAACATCCTTTTGACGATTTTATAGACTCGGTGAGATTCGTAAATTCAGTTACTAAAGACCATTGTCGTCATTATCTAAGAAAATCACTGTCCTGTATAAGAGGTAACACATACTATTTATGACTTTTTTTTATGTCGCGTCCAAGATTATTGCACTTATATAGCGACGTGCATGGACGTGTGTGTGTGGCTGCTTGTACTAGTCCGGACTCATGCCGATTAATAGTGCTAGCACACTGAGATACCATGCCGCAGTTTAACATGAATACCCCACTCAGACACAGTATACTGACTCCGAGCCGACCAGTCCTTGTTTTATCCCCTAATGCCGAGCGCCAGACAGGGTAACAACAAGTACCATATTATAACGACTTTTGGTATAACGCGGCCGGGGATCGAACCCCGGGCCTTCCGCTCTCCGGGCGGACGCTCTACCACTAGACCACGGAGGCGGTCCCTTTTCTTGGTAAAGCATGTAAAACAAGAAAGTTTAAAAACCGCGGAGAACATCAAACAGCAATGATAAATCTTCATCAAGGTTTAATTATTGATTGTAAAGTATTTGCATCAACAATCTAATGTTAAATTACCTTTCCCTAACTACATACATATAGTATTTGCATCACCAATGATTATCTAAAGTTTAATTTCCTTTCCCTGAATACATATATACTATCAACTCCCCGTAAATTATATTAATTCATTAATGCTTTTATTCTCGACTGAATCAATACATGAACTAATTTGCTTTAACGATGACGTCAACTGGAGGCTGCTAACCAAAGTACCGCACCCAATGAGGTCTGTGTGGATGGGTAACTTAGGTTAATGAAAGTACGACGTAACCACGTTAACATGTGTTAACATGGCGTTAAAAATTGAGGTTGGGCCATTGATTGTGCCTCCCACCACCCGTGTTTCAGAATGAACTATTAAACAATGATACGCATCGGGATTGCGGGGAAACATACACGATTCGTTCTGGTTGCATATTCATGGATCAGTCACCAAGTCATATGTCATTAACTGTTTGTGTCTTTGTGTCTGGTATATCCACCATTAACCAGAATGTGTCATATCTACAAAAATGCATACAAGCTAAGTATTTGCCCACTTAATTTCGTGGGTCCAGTTTTATATGATCACCTGCATAACTGTATATATATATATATATATATATATATATATATATATATATATATATATACATATATATATATATATATATATATATATATATATATATATATATATATATATATATATAACAGGGATTATAGACTCCTTTGTATATTACAGACTGACTTTGTAATTAGATGAACATGTTCTTCGGCGACGTACAGGCATCAACCACTCCGTCAGTAGTGATAAACAGTTACAACGAATTATCAGAATTAACCCTATGTACTTGTATTCATGAATACAGTAAAATGTCATTTACAAAATAGAAACCAAACAACTTTATATTATATTGACTCTAAAAGTTGGTTTGTTGGTTTGTTGTTTTACGCCGCACTTAGCAATATTCCAGCTACATGACGACGGTCTGTAAATAATCTGTAATAAAGTCTGGACTAGACAATCCAGTGATTGACATCAGATGGCATTATTCCAGAAGTTAGTTGGTGTAAAGTCATATATCCAGTACTGGTCATTTTAGTAGATGGCACTTACATGTATGTCCCTTGCATGTCTTCTTAAAACGCGTGGTACATTAAGGAAGAGGAATTCTCTCCACAGATAACAGTAGCAGTAGCAGTAGTAGTAGTCTCTCCACATGTAACTACTGGTAGTAGTAGTGGTAGTATTCTCTCCACAGGTAACTAGTAGTAGTAGTAGTAGTAGTAGTAGTAGTAGTAGTAGTATGTACAGCTAAAACAAAATGCAGCAAAGAGGGTATGGGTGATCCTGCAAAAGTCAGACTGGTTAGGCACATCATCGGCTCAGGGCCCTTGCCCCCTCTACACGCAGCCCAGACAGCGAATGGGACTTCTCCAAAGAAGGCGCTGCCTAGTCAAACCCACCCAGAACTTTTCGGAGAATGTGAAGACTCCCCAACACTGCAGACTTCTGCATTACCCAGATTGTCAGAAGGGCTGTATTCCTGGTAGCAAACACGGGTACGCCCCCAATGTCAGTCAGCAGATTTGGAGATACCAAACCTAAGGCACCAAGACCAATGGGGAGTCGGACAACTTGGTACTTGAGATGCAAGTGTGACATTCGAAAGCGAGTATTTGCCATGTTTTTCCTCAGTCTTGTCAAACACATTAGTGTCAAAGGGGACAGAAAATTCAATGATATAAATGATTTCATTGGATTAATCAAAAAGGGCAAGATCAGGTTTGTTGGCCTGGATACGTCTGAGGCTGTAAATGGGCCTATTCCAAAGGATTTTGTATTTATCATTTTCCATGACGCCCTCTGCATATTCTGGGTCGTACCATGGATGGACCTCTGTGTCAAAACCACAAGCATGGCATAAAATGATCGAGCCACCCCATCATTTCGCTTAAGATACAAGCGAAGGACTCTGCGGGATTGCTGATCTTCTCAACACATTATCATTATTATTATTATTATTATTATTATTATTATTATTATTATAAATGACAAGGTATATCTTGAACAATCGTTCTATTTAGCTATTACTATGTGTGTCGTAATGGGCAACTGAACGAATCGGGTTGTCCAGTTTAGTGACTTGTTGATTGTGTGCCATCGTATCACGACTATGTGGATCTCTGCACATAATATTAACCACTGGATTGTCTGATACAGATTCGACTTTATACAGTCCGCTGTCATTACATAGCTGAGTTTGGCATTAAACAACAAAGACTACGATGTGGTACTCTCAACGTGTATATATGTAATCCACATTCCCGTGAGTGTAGTGCTATATGTATCTTGAAACAGGCATGGAGATAGTCGGTCCCTCTAAGCGTATGTGGGCAGGTGTTGCCATGAACCTCTTCTGGAGCGCGGGGAACATGGTCACAGCACTTTCGGCATATCTCTTCAGGGACTGGAGGACTCGACAGCTGATTGTCAGTGTCCCGGCAGTTGTCTTTGCTTATTTATAGTAAGTATTGGAATTTGACGTACTCTATACGTATCACAAATATGAAACTATTTAAGGTACAATCTATGTATAGAAACTTGCAATGAAACAGTAGTATTGCTTTTTTATATTCCCATATCGGAGTAATACATGTACATGCCTGATATCGGAATAATAATAACCTGTCGTGTATCAAAAGTCAATGTAGTCTACTAAATGAGACCATAAATTTTAGCATCTACGTTAAATGCTTCAGTTGGTGAATTACTAACATATGATTGTTCAAGCATAGAAATATTATTTTAAATTACATTCATAAAATTATATATTCAAAGAACAAGTATTTCCTGACATTATAAACATGTGATATGGTTCATTATATCTTTTTGGGATTGACTGGAAAGCTCTCTCAATTTAATCATGATAACCAGGTTTATATTTTTTCATCACAGTTTTATCCCAGAGTCTCCAAGATGGCTTTTGAAACATGGCAAACAAGAAGAAGCTAAAAGGATAGTTGCAAATATTGCGAAGAAGAACAAAGTACAAATAGATCCACAAATACTTGATGAGGTCAATATCGAAAAGGAAGAGGTATTACAAGAACCATTCTGGAATCTTTTGAAGTCTTCTGTGATGAGGCGTCGAATGATGATCATCTGCTATAATTGGTACGAGTTTGTTCCCTACATAAGTTCTGACCAAATTTTAAATAAATAGAAACAAACTAGTAAAAACAATTCAGCTAGTAAATTCTTTCAGCACTATATAATGTGAATCGTGAAGGCCACCTGTTGTTAGTTTATGGAGAGATTGTTAATAGTCGTTAAGTCCTTTCCGAATTGTGCAGATCGATGCTCGTGTCAATCACAGTATTGTCTGGTTCAGACTCGATTATTTACAGACCGCCGTCATAAAGCTGGAATGTTGCTGAGTGCGGCGTTAAACAACAAAAAAAGGAAGAGAATATTCCAGTGAAGAAACGTTTTACATAGGATTCAACATAAACATCTTGGTTTTTTTCAATTTGTACGAGTAAGCGAGGGAACCTTTAAACATACTTAAACATTACTTTCGTTAAAGAGAAGAAAACTTATTGTCATTGGGTTTTTTCAGGTTTGCAGTTGGAATGGGCTTCTATGGCCTTAGTATGAACGTCACCAATCTCTCCGGTAACATCTACATCAACTTCCTCTTGTTCGTTATCGCAGAAGCAGTTGCCTACATTTCCTGTTTTTTCCTGATGGATCGTATTGGCCGCAAGCTGCTGTTGTGTATATCTCTGTTGCTAACAGGGGCAGCTTGCATTTTTCCTTTGATTCCAGTGCTAGCTTCAGATACACGTAAGTGCCATTATCAAAAATCACTAACGTGTTTATAAGTGTTTGTAGAAATACTGGAACAAGGGTTAAGGTGTCATTTTCAAGACTTCACACATTAGCATGTCCATAATAATTATTCGTACAAAATAAAAAAGAAACATATTCATTGCAAACAATCTTTAAATATGATGTACTTTGTATCACGGGGTAAAGGCATATATATTAAAATAGTCTCTTATGGCCACATGCAGGACAAGACAGGGTAAGACCTCAAAGGCACGGCTCAGTACTAGCAACGTCTTGCTTGACACTAAAACCTGAAGACATGTCCATTCCTTTTTCGATGAGAGATATATCGCAGGTACCAGCAAATGTACCACCAAATCCCTGAGATTACCCATAACTCCTAATAATTATCCATTGTTTTACTCCACAAGCGGAGAAATGGGCCATTAACCTCCTCGCCATTATAGGAAACATGTGTGCCTCTGCTGCCATGTGTGCCGTCTACACCTTCACAGCTGAACTCATGCCAACCACATCAAGGACATTTGGCATGTCAATGAGTTCCGTCTGCTGTAGAGTTGGAAGTATACTTTCCCCCTACATTGTTGGCTTGGCAAGTTTTACCAAATCTTTGCTTTTGCAGGTTTTACATGTTTCGTTTTAACTGAGATAACTGAATTAAATGAATTGATAAATGAATTTTGGACTTTATGATCACCTTAAGATTTTATACTTTGATTTCCGTTATCATATGAAATAGATGACATACAAATAACCCCTACATTTCAGACGATGTACATATCAGGACGTTTCGGACAGATTCTCCCCATGCTGGTGTTCGGGGCTATCGCCATCATAGCGGCCCTTCTGGGTCTGCTTCTTCCGGAAACGCTGAACAAAAAGCTACCGGAAACCACCAAGGAAGCTGAGATGCTCGGGACGTAAGTAGTTTTGATAACTATCACTTCAGTCTCAGGTCAATAGCAGACTTATCTGAGGTAAGGGACTTGAGTTTCAATCCAATTTCAGTTCAGGTTTCAATGCTGTTTTATTAGTCCAGCTTCAGTTCAATTTCAGTCAAATTACGGTTTCAGTCGCATGATTGGTTTCTTTTTCGGTAAATCTTTTATTCATCTGGGTCAAATTAAACAAGAACACATTGAATATAGAGTCAAACCTTATCATATTTATATGCATACGTTTCACTAATACAATCTGATAATGATCCCACGAACATTTCCTTTCTAAATGTAATAGTGGAATAGAGACATATTTTAGATTTGTGTGAAGCACCAGATTCGTTGCTTTCAGGAACGTGTACAACGAAGAAGTTGCAGATGCATCTCCTGTACGAGCTGAGCTGCTTCCACTGGAATCTGAGTCCGAGACGAAAGAAGGCAAAGCTGAAGATTCTAACAATGTCCTACTTGTGTGAAACAATTCTCTGGAAATATTCACATGTCATGAATATAAAAAAAAATCCAATTAGGAGATATGTGAAGAGAGTTTCAAGTGTCCAAAATTGCTCATTAAGCGTCAGCGAATTCCTGCAGTTTCCAATTTTATATTATTGATTCTCTCACTATGTTTTGTCAGTTTTACTCATCTTTCTCGTTACATGTATTATAATTCAACCTCAATTCAAGTCATGTTTCTGAAAAAAAATATTCTAGTTGTAAACTAGATCATATTTTCCGCCACACAACTTTCTGGGGTCGGAAGTGGGATGACACAGATGATGTTGGAAATTCCCAGAGGGATCAACCAGAGTGACAGCCTGTGTTTCAGACACTGCAAACACGAAAACGTCGGGTTTTTTCCGTATATGGTCATTGGACGGAAAAACGACGTTATTTGGACGTTTTCAAACGATCGTTTTTCCGTCCAAATAACGTCGTTATTTGACATCGGAATTTACTGGGAGAGAACGATATCATCAAGCTCCTCCCTTTCTTGATTGACATTGTCAATCAAGCAACAGCGTCTACCGGTATTTCTACTTCTCAGATTTCATTGGTCAGTTCTCGCGTGTTAGATTACAGGCCCGCGTTTGACGCTGCACTCGAAGCGCTTAGCGGAAGTATTGAAATCAATCGTTCTGCGCATGCGGATTACTTAATGCCTTGTCCAAATTTTCCGTTTTGTGCATGTGCGATTTCGCGTATTGTTTCCGAGATTTCATGTCACCACTATTTGACAATGATTCATAAACACAGTCTCGTGAAAGTTCGGAATCGTACAATTCCAAACTGGTGATGCCTATTCAGTGATGTGGGAGATTCCGAGATGAACCTATTCTATGGCTATAGGCTGCCACCCAAACCGATCCAAACTGTATCGTGTTGTCTTCAGAAATACAAATTTCTTTCAATATTTATACTACGAGATAGTAAGGGTAAGGCTTACTCACCGGTGGAACGTAGACAATATCACTAATACAGATATAACGTATTTGAATGTTAATACTAAAGACAAACACTCATTATTTTTGCAGTATAACGATATAACTCTAATACACGTTTATTGGTAACTTTCGTCAGTTTTGCTCTTCATTTTAATAACTTTGTTTTCACATATACATGTAGCAATACCCGACAAGCCTGTCATACATAATTATTGGGCAGTTTTCAATCTTGTACTGACTTACTCTGGTGTTCCTGAGCGAAGCTTATTGGCTTGGGTGTCACACCCCGTTTTTCTGGTAATCCTATTATTACTTTATTGTTTATGTAATGACACCCTGTACACTGGATCACGGCTCCGTGACTATCCATAACAACCAAGATGAACATTCAGTTCAAGTAAAATAATGAGTTTGTTTTGACGCCACAGTCAGTCAAAAAACAATGCTGTGGGGTTTGATTACACACTTCTAGCAGGTCGAACATCGTGGATCCTCATTTTGAGAATCAAAGTTCATATGCTAATCCATCGGCGAATACCGACCCGCTCAAGGTAACCTTACTTGTTGCTAAAACTATCATCTATACCCCACTCTCACCCCCCTCCCCCACCCCCACCCTTGTTAAGCAAGCCTAAAAGAAAAAGAAGTTTGCTTGCTGGTATTATGCTGTTTTTTCATACCCAAATGAAATTTCAATATGGTTTAAAAGAGTTTATACATTATCAAGGAATTATTTTATCAAATATACAATTATTTTTTAATTAGGTTAGATAATTCTGTTTGGATTTACATTTCAACTGTTTTTCTCGAAAGTAAATGGTAACTGTTGTGTATGTTATCATTTCTCTATACATATACATCTCTAAATAAATATATATTTACAGAAGTCACAAAGAATAACTTAAAACATTACTCACCTAACTTCATGATGTATCCAGGTTCATAAATATAGCACTTTGCGTGATGAATATATTAACTTCACTGATAAAATATATTCTCTCACAAGATATTTCTATGTCCACTTGTGTACACAGCTTGTTGAGGAGAGAAAACAAGTCGAAGTGGGAGAACCATGGAATATGAACTGTAGCTAAAAATGAGATTGTTTATCTTTATTCAAGTTAGCAAGAAATCCTAAACCATCCAGATGACGGAGAATGTCTTCCGCACCTCACCCCAACCCCCCAGTGTGTTAATTAATTGTCCATCAGAAAATTGGTGTTGACAGCAACAGAGATCTTAGATGTGCTCGGATCGAGCACTGCTAAGGGGGTTTGTACGTAGGACTGTAGTCTGTCTTACAGACCCTGATACATTTATATCAACTACAGCCCATGCAATCTATAATGCTTGGCAAGTCTAGATTACTGCAGTATCACTGGGCTCCCTTTTTATTAGATTTTTATTAAGATAACTGAACAACTGTTTTTTTCTGTACGATATGTTCATTTCAGAGACTATATGTTAGTCTAGTAGGACTGGTCAACTCCGCGCTACCGCAGAATGTTCTTCCAACTCTGCAGGGGGCATTCGTCTATCATACTATCTTACCGCATATCACCATGCTTCTCATGCTAAAGACGTGTCCTTTTTTGCCGTAACTGTATTGATATACACGACACTATGTTCCTACAACAGCTGCTGAAAAGACTACTGTTATAAACTGCAACCAGCAAGACACAATGCGTATATTATTTTTGAAGTCAGATCAACTTTCGACGTTTCAAATCTTCCAACACGTATAAATTGTCCCGTGTTGATAGTTGTACAATGGTCTCTGTTGTTTGCACACTGTTTGTTTGTTATTGCGCGCTGTAAACAACGGTAACATGTTCGCGAGTAAATTGCACCATAAAGAAAGCGTTAGCCCCTTACTGCACGAACTCAAACAAGGGAAGATAGTGTTTCCATTTGTTTTTCTTGTGTCGACCAGTGTCATTTCTCGGTCATTTCTATGGTTTTGAATGCTTTCTTCAATGATACCGTTACACCAAGGTGTGCGCGAGGTATTCATGCTCGAATACAAAGGAGGGGGCAAGGATGCAACCCCTTACACCCTATTTGAAACAATCATGTTTATGTATACTAGTATATATTGCTGAATCTTTACCTGGCGTGTTTCAATTTAACAGTAAAAAAGGACTAATTTTTGGCTTCCAAATACATAATTATTGTTTCCCTTATGATTTGTTTGCATTATGTATCTAGCATTATATTTATTGAACACGCTGAAATGTTTTCGCCTTGCATCCAAGATGGTGGACAAGTGAAATCGTATGAAATTTGGGTATTATAGGTCGCTGTCTCTTTTTTGATTACCTAATAAAGTCACTTCAACTTTCAATTCCCGATACATGTAAATGAATAAGTGTGTTTTATGCCACAATTAGTCAAAGACCAACGTTGTCTTGTTTGATGACACACAATCTACCAGGTAGCACATTGTGTACACCCTATCCCCATTTAAGTCTTCACTGTGCGTATTCCTGGTGACGAAAAGGCACAATGTACCTAGGAATCTCATTAATACATTCATGCGCGGCATTCTCTACCTCTAGAAGATTATATAGTTAACATGCTTATCCAACTCGAACTATCATGCCGCTCAAAAATCCAGCAGGCCCACATTCACACACACACACACACACACACACACACAACGGACAGGAAATACTGCTGATAGCCTCAACTCAGCCGCGCTACCGCAGGATTCCGTTCAACTCTGCAGGGGGCATTCTCAGTGGCTTCAAACGCCCTGAAAAGTTTTCGCCTTGCATCCAAGATGGCGGACAAGTGAAATCGTATGATATTTGGGCTATTTTAGGTCACGATCTCTTTTTTGATTACCCAATAAAGTCAATTCAAAGTATACGGTTGTGAATGAGCTTACAACTTTATAACACTTATTCATCTCATTCCAATAGAGCTACTCGTGCTCACATAAAGTTGTAGTTATTATGTCACTGTTTTATTTCTTTAAAAATAGATTACGTGTTCATGAATAACAATTAAGATGAACATTCAATTTCCGATACAAGTAAATGAATAAGTGTGCTTAACGCCACAATCAGTCAAAGACCAACGTTGTCTGGTTTGATGACATTGTGTACACCCTATCCCCATTTAAGTCTCCACTGTGCGTATACCTGGTGACGAAAAGGCCCCATGTGCATGTACCTGGGAATCTCATTGATACATTCATGCGCGACATTCTTTACCTTAAGAAGATCATAGTTAACATGCTTATCCAACTCGAACTACCATCCCGCCGAAGATGAATTTTGATTTACCAATCCCTGAATTGAGAAGACGTGCGTTACGAAGCTCCTCCAAGTCGTCATCAATATCCGTAAATGTCTGTGATAGTATTACCCATCAAAAGCCGAATATATTTGTTGTGCTTTCTTGACGACAAATGTCGTAATTGGGATAACACTTTCTTAGTAAAGTACAGATTCTCGTACTTTTTTTGGTTGACTCCTGTCCGGGATTTGAGACCACGCTGTGAGTGAGGCACCCAATCGCCAGCACACAAGTCAACGATCTAACCCATTCTCAGTAAACTACATATTCTCGTAATTCTTAGGGTTGAGATAATAGACGTTGATGGACAAATTAAAGCCAAACCTTAACTTATGAATGATTGGTAATGGACAATGGACAATGGGCAAACGGGAGGCCGGGGTAATCAGCGCTAATTATCTGTTGGCTTCCCTTGTTACGTTTCCTTCTTTGCTATCTTTTTACTGTTGTTCTTACAGGTACATATATATGTTCTCTGCCTCATAGCATTTTTTCACCCGATGAAGGAGTGAGTATATACTCCGAAACGTTGTGTTCCTCTTAATAAAGACGTTGACATTCATATTTTTTTCCTTATGTGTATCACTTCTTAATGCCCTTCAAAGACTCAATCTAGCTTTGTTTTTAAATGTGGAGATATTTGCTTAGAATATAATATGGTCATGCCTATAAACATTAGGGTCTTTGTCTACATAAGCATTTAGACATACATTTTATAGCTGATGACATTGCTAAATCTGCAGGAATGCAGTACACGTCATAGCAAGCTGTGATCTTTATTCACACTTTAGATATTCGAAATGGAGATCTGTAAGTTTATCGTAATCTCCCGCAACTCTCACCTCCTGACCATTTGAACTTCTTAGTGCATTCTGATGCCATCGGAAAATTCCAGGCTGCCCTTCTTTCTGTGATGTTTTGACGAATGAAATCTATTGCGTTATGATAATCTCTGTTTGCTGATATTTAATATGTACATATTGTAAAATATTTACGATATTGTAAACGTGTAATTCGATGCATAGAATGCAATGTAAACATAAGTGCGGATGCACGAAGACGGTTATAGTCATAGTTATAGTGCGATGGATATAGGGGAATGGTAGGAGGG